TGTCACCACCGGTGAGATGTGAAGGTAGAAGGAGAATTTCTTTTTGAAGAAGGGCTCCGGCGTTTGGGTGAAGTTGTGCAAAAGGGAAGATAGTTTCATCGAAGACAACGTCACGAGAAATATAGACACGTCCAGTGGATACATCAAGGCACTTCACACCTTTATGTTGTGGACTATAACCCAAGAATACACACTGTTTTGACCGAAACATGAGTTTGCGATTGTTGTAAGGCCTAAGATTCGGCCAGCACGCACACCCAAATACACGTAGTGATGTGTAATCTGGTTTTGTGTGAAGGAGACGTTCTACTGGAGATTCATTGTTGATGACTCTACTAGGCAACATGTTTATGAGGTGGACTGCGGTGAGGAAAGCCTCATCCCAGAATTTCAAAGGCATGGAGGCAGCAGCAAGCAAAGCAAAGCCAACTTCAACTATATGCCTGTGTTTGCGCTCGGCTGATCCGTTTTGTTGGTGAGCATGGGGGCATGACACGTGGTGTGATATGCCAATTTGTTGAAAAAAAGAGTTGAGGTTGCGGTACTCCCCTCTCCAATCAGATTGGAGGGCTAAGATTTTGCAATCGAACTTTCTTTCAACTAGTGCTTGAAAGTTGTGAAAGACTTGAAAAACATCAGATTTCTTTTTGATAAGATAGATCCATGTGTACTTGCTATAATCATCGATAAAACTTACGTAATAAGTGTGTCTACCAACTGATGTAGGAGCAGGACCCAGACATCTGAAAAAATGAGCTCAAGAGGTTTGGTGGAAATACTTGTAGACACAGGGTAAGGTAATTGATGACTTTTAGCACACTGACAAGAATCACAAATTGTTTCACGATCTCGCTCACCAACAAACGGGAGCTTATTCTTTTTAAGCAAATGTTCGACTAAAGAAAAGGATGCATGCCCTAATCTATCATGCCACCGTGTTGAAGAGACTTTGGTGACACCATAGGCTTGTTTATTCAATCTCCTAAGCTCCGGAATCAACGGGTAAAGCCCTCGAACGCATCTACCTCGATACAGAATTTTCTTCGTGACCTGATCCTTGATCAAAAAAAAAAACGGATGAAACTCAAGGAATACATGATTGTCAATGGCGATGCGATGAACTGAAAGGAGATTTTTTGAAGCACTAGGGACATGCAAGATTTTTCTTAGGCGATTTTTTGTGTGAGGAGTTTTAAGCACTAAATGACTAACGTGACTAATGCTCATACCTTCTCCATTTGCGGTGTGAACTTGGTCTTACCCACGGTACTTTTCACGAACTGTCACTTTTTCAAGCTCGCTGGTGATGTGGTCAGTTGCGCCACTGTCCACATACCAGTTCGTGTCGATGCCGTAGGAGCCATCAGCAGCACCTGCAACTTTTTCATCTTGTGAGGATTCACCATCTTCTTCGTAGCGATACCAGCAATCGCGAGCGGTGTGGCCTAACTTCCCACAAATTTGGCATCGCGACGCGTCAGGGTTGGTGCGAGGCCTGCCACCACGGCGGCCCTTGTTCTTGTTGTTGGAGGACCGCCCGCCGCTGCCGCCGCCGCGGAAGGAGTTGCCACTGCTGCTGTTTCCGCCACATGGCGGCTTGCCTTTGCCGCGCGGTGGCCCACAATAGCGTGAGCTGCCACCGCCACGGCTGCCACCACGAGCGACAACATTAGCAGAAGACTTGAAGCGCCCGCCCGAGTTGTTGTTGTAGAGGGCGAGGCGCTGATCAAAGTTGCTCATCTGAGCATAGAGATCGTCGATGCTGATGGTGTCGGTGCGCGCGTCGTTGGCGGAGACGAGGGGTTGGTACTCCATGTCGAGGCCGGCGGTGATGTAAGAGACAAGCTCATCATCGTCGATGGGCTTCCCGGCGGCTGCAAGCTCATCTGCTAGCGCTCTCATCTGGGCGAAGTAGGCGGCGACAGACTGCGTTCCCTTCTGCGCCGTGGAGAGAGCGACCCGGATGTTGTTGACGCAGGCTCGGGACTGCGACGAGAACATGTGGGCAAGAGCTGCCCAGAGCTCGTGCGGCCTGGCGATGGAGGTAACCTGCACGAGAACCTCCTTGGTGAGAGTATTGAGCAAGTATCCGAGTACCTGCTGCCCTTCTCTGAACCAGATCGGATGGAGAGGGTTCATCGTCTGCTTTTCTTTCCCGTCTTTGTCCTTCATGACGAGGATCTTGACAGGTTCTGGCATGGTGCCGTCGGCGTAGCCGAACAGCCTAGCTCCTCTCAGCTGCGGCGTCACCTGCGCACGCCATAGGACATAGTTGGTGCGGGTGAGTTTTTCTGCGACCTGCCCAAGGGAGGCCTGGCCGGTGCTGGAGGAGGAGGACGACATGGCTGCAGTGGATGGTGCTAACTAGATGCGATGGATAGAGGTGGCTCTGTATACCATGTAAAACAGCGGAGAACGTCGTACCTCTCTCGAGGCGACGGTTGCGTGTTAATATAGGCAGGGGCATATCCCTGATAAGCATACAAGTTGTTGAGATTACATCTTGAGGTACAAGGAAAGTAGAGTTAAGATATGCATGAAAAGAATACAACTCAACTAACCTAAACCGAATCTATCTCAACCTAAACCGGTGCGTGTATGCCCCTTGAACCTGAATATTGCATGGTTTAACAGAAAACATTATACATTTACTCCTCAAGTATAATTAACTGGGAAACGGCTAAAAAAGCACTAGCTATGTTGAAGAAACAACTTCTCTTTTTTAGGATTTTACAGCTTTCCCTAGTTTTGCCCGGCCACCCGGGCAATCAGTAGCCAATAGTTTGATCCTTATTCTCCTGTGTAGTATATACAAGAGACATCTCCATCGTAAGAAATTCATTTGCTAGATCTCCCATGGAAATGATCCTGTTTTCCAGGATTTATGATCGAGATCTTGCACGAGAAAATAAAAAGGAACTTGGAGATTGTTAAGATTGATGACCAAGCTTTATTCAGCAACCGAACAATATATGTCCTGTCAACACTTGTGCCGATACAGCGCAAAAAGAACACTTGTGCCGATAACAATCGTTCTTAGATCATGTACACAAGTGTTTAATTCGATGGGTGCTTTTTGTAACGAAGTTATTTTGCTTTGGCATGTGAGCTTGGAGATGTACGGGTCTATGACATAACTTTTCATTACAAGCTATCATAACTATAGTAGATCCTCTATAAAAACAGTGATCATCCGTATCCTAGTAGTGGCTCCATAATTTTAATAGTGGTCACAAGCTTTGATAGTACATATCAACAAAGTGTGCTTTATGCTGGGGCTTAAAATAGTTTTTGAGAATAACTGCAAAAGTCTGTGTAATAAATTGACGTAAGAAGAGCTCGGAAAGCACTACACTATTTAAAATAAGGGACAACTTCTCTTTTGCAGAATATTACTCCGGCCTTTTCTAGTTTGGCACAGGCGATCCCTACCCAAAATTCCATCCAATTTGTGCTGCATGGAATATGCAAAAGAAATCTCCATCATGGAAAATGCAATGGTACGATCTCTATAACAGATGCTCTTATTTACATGGGATTACCGATCAAGATCTTGGCCGAGCGTAAACTAAAAATTAACACTTGATACTATATAACGGCTGGCATCAATCTTCAATAATTAGGACTTTCGGTGGAAAATCACCTCCACAGACTGAGATCTAATTAACTTCTGGGTGCTCATCCATGCCCATACTTGGTGGCACCCAGTAATTTGTCCCAATCCAATTCTGGCTTCCACTTTTCTCCCAAGAATATACCCTCCTTTTGGTTTCTTCTTGTTTAAGCATACTGTTTGTGGCTGAACAATCATTTCGCCATATCCAATTAGAAAAGGAGAATAAAGGAAGTAGCATATGGAATGAAGCAGCAAATCACAGGTGATTATCCATTTTTTTCCTCTACATATACCGAGTATTGCAATTGAAGAAGCCCACATGCCAAATGATGTGCTTCCTTTTCTATTTCCTTGCAAGTGGCTCCTATGTTTCTGATGTCAAATTTGTTGATTTTCTTGGAGGTTGATGATATCATTTTCCTCCTTGAAGGTTAAAATGATGAGACTTAAAAGGGACAACATTGGGAGATCTGAGTTAAGTACATTCTTTAGTAACAGTGACCATGTCTTAAACTCATACTCTAGTGCCAGTCTAGATCAATGGTCAGCATTTTCAAACTAATGAAGCAAGTGTAGACATTGATCTCATGACTCATGACCCAGTCCACCGAACTGATTGATTGTTGTGAGAATCAAAATATTCCCTAAAGCAATAAATCATTACGTTTAGGACCTGTAGCATCTTTGGGATCTGGACTGTGCTTGGCTTGCCATGAAAAATTCCAGCAAATAATATCTATCTTCACAGTAAACCTTGTTAGTTGGTCTGCCTAGGGTGTATTTGGCAGAACAACAAATGCCCTGACTGAATTCTTCTTGTCTTCAAAACTGTGTTCCGACAAGTTAGTGAGTATCATGAACATGGATGGAGCATCGGCAAAAGTCAGTCTTTTGCCGTCTGCAACACAATAGCTGACCGCAACAAGACACAACAACTGATCAGACAAACATTACTGCCCCAAACCGAAACAATATGGGGGACGCTACCTGCCACGGCACCACCCGACATGACTCGTCGCAATCGAACAGACCATGTAAGTATGAAGAAAGTGTCACATGGGTAAGCGCACATAGCATCTCTTGCCTACTTTGTCACCTCTTGGCCCTTTTCAAATTCATGCTTTTTTTGTAGATAGGCCAAAGGTCATATATCAAGTAAACACATTCCACATCGACCGGGGGACGTGTGAAGTGTGAACTGGATTGCTCGCCTTTTCCTAGGCTTGACATACACGTCGTGAAATCACACGGGCTCGTCTCGGCCCATCATATATACCCACTCCACTGTCATTCCAGAGCATCATCAACAACACTAGTCCAGTAGCCAGTTTCTTCTCCTCGCCTCCACGGGGCAGGTGCTAGTCGCCAGCTCAGTCACCACAAAATGTGCTTGGAGTTCGCCTCGTGTTTCGGTGGCAGGACGGACGACTATGGCGGCGAGCGGCCCAACCGCAAGGAGGAGCACGGCGGCGTCCGTCGTGGCCGCGACCGCAGAGGGAACCACGGGAGCACCTACAACGGCCACGCCGCTGACCACAAACTGGCGCCGCAGGCGGCCTACCACCACCAGCCGCCCGCCGCAGTCGACGAGGCCGGGCACAAGGCCTACCACGATGGCCGCGGCGGCTACGCCGCCTACGGGCAACACAAGACCAACATCGATGCGCTAAAGCTTCCAGCGTGGCAAAATAAGGTCGGCGACGGTGCCTACACGGGGCGCCTCCAAGAAGATTCTGCCGCTGCTGATCATATGAACAACGCCGCCAGGGATTACCACCACTACCCAACGAGCACCACTACCACTACTACTGCTCTCGGCAGGTACTAGCTAGCTAGTCAGATTAGCTATGCGGCTGTACACCACGGTCGGTGTGATTAGCTTGCATGGCAGTTCATCAAAACCTTCCTAATCCTCCTCTCTCTGAGCACTGCCTCTGCTTCTTCCCGGTAGCTCTGTTTTGCTCCTCTGTTTTCCCTTTCTCCTTGGATTTTGATCAGTCCTCTCATCTGCTTAAGCTGAATAGGAGGCTGTTGATTTTGATTAGAACCTCCACGTACTAGTCGATGGATGTGCGGCACAAGTTCCAGCTCCAGCAAGCTTTTACCACTCTGTCTGTGTAGTTTCTTGTAGGGCCTTAGCTATGGCTGCTTTCTTCTTGTATCATATAATCAAGTGAAAGAAAGCATTGTGAAATCTCAAAAAAAGGCTCGCCATATTGGTCGTTTTTGCTAAAAAGGAAACCAGAATTTTCTATTTCAGCGACAATTAATATGGACCGGAGGGAGTACAAAGTTCCGAATCTTTATAACTATTTGCTTTCTTTTCTATATTTCCTGACAAGTGGCACATACGTTTCTGACGTCATATTGGTTGTTTTTCCTGGACGGTGATGGCGTCATGTCTCTTAAAATAAGGGAAGTTAAAAAAAAAATGACATGGGTTATCTGAAGTAGTTACAACGTTAAGTAAAAAGGAATTGTAAGACATCTTCCACGGAAAGCATATTCAAATGAACATAGTGTGGACACTGATATTCTCGATCTCACTTTCTCATGTCACTGAGTCGTGACTAAGTCCTGTGGATTGACTGATTGTTCCGGAAACTGGAATATTGCCATGAAAAACACGAGGATGAAGGAGCAGCGAACATCCGTTAGCCAGGCTACACGAGCATTATTAGATAAGTTTGCTCGATTCCACAAAGCTAGCAAAAACTGTCTCAGGTAAGCTCTAGGCTGCTCACCACGATTCATACAGGACCTTGCTTTGGACATCCACGGTCATTGGGAAGATATTTGGTGATACCAAGGCTTGCATGCTACCATAATACGAGCTTCTGCGAGTTCTTGAATATTTTATAAAAAAAGTCATTCAAAAGTTTAAAAATTGCGCATAGGTATAATAGCTCTTTAGATGTTGTTGGATTTGAGATCCAGCGACCAAGAAAGTTGTATCACCGTAGCACCTAAAACTTGGTATCACCTGAAATTTTCCCTACGGTCACCGAAGCGCGAAGCCATTGCAAATAGCAAAATAAACTCCTTAAGAGCAGGCCAGAAGTGTTTGAACCTAGCCATCGACCACCCATCGGCGCCCACGAGCCATATCAGTCTTCATTGCTGTCAGCGCATCATCTATCTCCTTCGACAAGAACACAAGAGTCAGCGTGCCGTTCTCCTCCGCACTCACTTGCTGCTCCTGATCCCACAAATCATGACGCAAGCCTACGAGCTTAGGGCAAACATGCCCACAAAAGTTTAATCAGGCCCAACGGATGCAGGATCTTTTCGAAGTCGGGTTGTTTGGTTGTCCACAAAGACTATTAGGCTTGCACGACACGCTTCTTAAAGCACTCCTAGGCCTAGCTGACTGTAAACGGCCGAATCGGCAGTTTCTAGCGAGCCAAGGCCAAGCAATGCGAGGATGCGCACATGGGTGGCTCCGCTGGGAACATGTTAGCGGTTAATCACCTTATCCCCTTGTCCCCTTCCTCGTTCTCCTCATTGCCGAACCGTCGGGCATGCCTCGCCACCGCGGCCGCATCACTCGCCTCCACCTCCTCATCGCCGACCGGCCCCGCCACCTTCTCCATCGGCGATGCATTCCTCCTCGCTAGCCTGCCCGCTCCGGCGCCCCGCTGAGCCGAATCCTCACCCCAACCGAGGTGTTCCTCGATGGGATGGTGCGCACCTTAGGACGGCGGGGCTGCGGCTAGATCGAGCATAGCCGTGCCCGACCGCTACTTCTTCGTGGGCACGCATCCCTCCCTCTCTCCCTCGCGCCACTCCCCATGCCGCTTCTCCGCGCACCCGGCCGCCGCGTGCATACCCTGTCGCCAGCTTCGACCGCCTCCGCTCTGACCGCACGCACGGCCAAGTCCTCCCCAAGCACGCGCCCCGCGCACCTCCTTGCCGGCCTGCCTGCACGTACCCGACATCCTTTGCTTGGCGCGCGCCGACTTCGCCCTCACAACCGCCGGACCGCCCGCTTGCCGGCTTCGCGCACACCGGCTCCCGCTGCTCACCGCTGTGGTCGGCTGCTCGTGCAGGAGAGGGTTGGCTGCCCATCCGACTACTACTGCTTCGTGGGCGCGCATCCCTCCCTCTCTCTGGCGCTTCCCCCCTCCCCGACCTCCCTGCTGCTCATGCGCTCCGCCTCCGCCCCGGACCTCTCCACGCCCCGGGGCACCGGAGGTCGAGGTGGTGCATCGTTGCCACCGGCGTGCCGGCCATCGCGGGGTGTTCACGGCCTCGACCTCTGCGTCGGCCGCGTCCGTGCTGCTGTGGGACGGCGGCACCATGCTTCTCATCACCGCCGGGGCCTACTCCCTCATGCGCACTTTCAGCATGCTCGTTGTTGGGGAACGTAGTAATTTCAAAAAATTTCCTACGCACATGCAAGATCATGGTGATGCATAGCAACAAGAGGGGATAGTGTTGTCTACGTACCCTCGTAGACTGAAAGCGGAAGCGTTAGCACAACGCGGTTGATGTAGTCATACGTCTTCACGATCCGACCGATCAAGTACCGAACATACGGCACCTCCGAGTTTAGCACACGTTCAGCCTGATGACGTCCCTCGAAATCCGATCCAGCCGACTGTCGAGGGAGAGTTTTGTCAGCACGACGGCGTGGTGACGATGATGATGTTCTACCGACGCAGGGCTTCGCCTAAGCACTGCTACAGTATTATCGAGGTGGACTATGGTGGAAGGGGCCACCGCACACGGCTAAAAAGATCAAACGATCAATTGTTGTGTCTCTAGGGTGCCCCCCTGCCCTCGTATATAAAGGAGCAAGGGGGGGTGCGGCCGGCCAAGTGGAGAGGCGCGCCGGGAGGAGTCCTACTCCCACCGGGAGTAGGACTCCCCCCCTTTCCTAGTTGGATTAGGACTTGGGAGGGGGGAAAGAGGAGGGGGAGAGGAAGGAAGGGGGGCGCCGCCCCCCTCTCCTTGTCCTATTCGGACTAGGGGGGAGGGGCGCGCGGCCCAGCCCTGGCCGCCTCTCCTCTTCTCCGTATAGGCCCACTAAGGCCCATTAACCTCTCGGGGGGTTCCGGTAACCTCCCGGTACTCCGGTAAAATCCCGATTTCACCCGGAACACTTCCGATATCCAAACATAGGCTTCCAATATATCAATCTTCATGTCTCTACCATTTCGAGACTCCTTGTCATGTCCGTGATCACATCCGGGACGCCGAACAACCTTCGGTACATCAAAACATATAAACTCATAATAATTGTCATCGTAACGTTAAGCGTGCGGACCCTATAGGTTTGAGAACTATGTAGACATGACCAAGACACATCTCCGGTCAATAACCAATAGCGGAACCTGGATGCCCATATTGGCTCCCACATATTCTACGAAGATCTTTATCGGTCAGACCGCATACCAACATACGTTGTTCCCTTTGTCATCGGTATGTTACTTGCCTGAGATTCGATCCTCGGTATCTCAATACCTAGTTCAATCTTGTTACCGGCAAGTCTCTTTACTCGTTTCGTAATACATCATCCCGCACCTCACTCATTAGTTGCAATGCTTGCAAGGCTTAAGTGATGTGTATTACCGAGAGGGCCTAGAGATACCTCTCCGACAATCAGAGTGACAAATCCTAATCTCGAAATACGCCAACCCAACATGTACCTTCGGAGACACCTGTAGAGCACCTTTATAATCACCCAGTTACGCTGTGACATTTGGTAGCACACAAAGTGTTCCTCCGGTAAATGGGAGTTGCATAATCTCGTAGTCATAGGAACATGTATAAGTCATGAAGAAAGCAACAACAACATACTAAACGATCGTGTGCTAAGCTAACGGAATGGGTAATGTCAATCATATCATTCTCCTAATGATGTGATCCCATTAATCAAATGACAACTCATGTGTATGGCTAGGAAACATAACCATCTTTGATCAACGAGCTAGTCAAGTAGAGGCATACTAGTGACATTCTGTTTGTCTATGTATTCGCACATGTATTATGTTTCTGGTTAATACAATTCTAGCATGAATAATAAATATTTATCATGATATAAGGAAATAAATAATAACTTTATTATTGCCTCTAGGGCATATTTCCTTCAGTCTCCCACTTGCACTAGAGTCAATAATCTAGATTACACAATAATGATTCTAACACCCATGGAGTCTTGGTGTTGATCATGGTTTGCTCGTGGAAGAGGCTTAGTCAATGGGTCTGCAACATTTAGATCCGTATGTATCTTGCAAATTTCTATGTCTCCCACCTGGACTAGATCCCGGATTGTATTGAAGCGTCTCTTGATGTGCTTGGTTCTCTTGTGAAATCTGGATTCCTTCGCCAAGGCAATTGCACCAGTATTGTCACAAAATATTTTCATTGGACCCGATGCACTAGGTATGACACCTAGATCGGATATGAACTCCTCCATCCAGACTCCTTCATTTGCTGCTTCCGAAGCAGCTATGTACTCCGCTTCACATGTAGATCCCGCCACAACGCTTTGTTTAGAACTGCACCAACCGACGGCTCCACCATTCAATGTAAACACGTATCCGGTTTGCGATTTAGAATCGTCCGGATCAGTGTCAAAGCTTGCATGAACGTAACCATTTACGATGAGCTCTTTGTCACCTCCATAAACGAGAAACATATCCTTAGTCCTTTTCAGGTATTTCATGATGTTCTTGACCGCTGTCCAGTGATCCACTCCTGGATTACTTTGGTACCTCCCTGCTAGACTTATAGCAAGGCACACATCAGGTCTGGTACACAGCATTGCATACATGATAGAGCCTATGGCTGAAGCATAGGGAACATCTTTCATCTTTTCTCTAT